TCTCTCTCTCCCTTCTTTCTTCCTCTCTGAAATCAATAAAAACATGTCCTTAAAAACGAAACAAAGCCATGACATCCACCATTTCCACTTGTGTCAGAGAAATTCCTAGCAGTGCAAATTCTTGGATCTAAGGGTCTGTGCATTTAAAATATTGGTAGATGTTGCTACATAGGATTTTACCACCTTACCCTCACCCACAATGTACCAGTGTGCCTGTTTCCTCACACTTACACCCAAATGGTAAGTTATCAGACATCCCAAACTTCGCCAATCTAGTAATTGAAAAATGGTTGATCGGTGTAGTATTAATTTGCATTTTTCTCATTATAAGTGAGGCTGAACATCTTGTCACACGTTTCAGAGTCATTTGTATTTTCTTTTCTGAATTGTACAATAATTTGCCTCTTTTTCTATTGGGCTATGAGTCTTTTGTTATTTATTTGAATGTCTTCTTTACACATCAAAGGCACTATCCCTTTGTCTGCATGGTAAGCTTCAAAAACAAATTTTTATACAAGTTGCTTTTAGACAGAAATGAAACGTTTTTTGCAGGCCGCATCATTTTCTGTGCATCACTGCAGGGCCCCGCAAGGGCCGAGAGAAGCTGTGCCATGTAGAATTCTAGAAGGCAATGCTAGACCTGGCAGTGGTGGTGGGGAAGCTGGGGTAGGAAGGAGGGAGTTGTTAGCTCTTGCACTTGTTGGAAAGGACTGTCACAGAAGACCATGAAGTCCCCATTGCAGGAAGTGGGCAAGACAGGCTAGCCTGGCTCTAAGACCCTTTGCCCTTCATCTAAAACAGCTGAGGATGGACAAGTCAGAAATGAGAGGACACACCAATAGGGCTGTCAATTTCTGATGTTTTAGGCCTGTTTGGGTGGTTAATAGTTATGTAAACTCCCTAGAATGTAAGCTTCATGGGCCCAGGGTTCAAGTGCTAAAAAACACACAAAACAGTTGTGGAATGAATTAATGAATAAATGAATGAATGGTGGAATGAATGAATGAGTCTAATCAAAGGATGTGAGAGGCTGCTGTTGTTGAGCCAGGAGGGAGCCTCTTCCCCTCCCTTCCTTTTGGGACCTGCCCTCTCGTCTTCCTTCCTCTTACCCCAACTAGGTCAGATCTTAGCATCTCCTATCTGGGCGTTGTCCCAGCCTCCTGTCCCACTCCCCAGCACCCAGGCTTTCTTCTATTCTCCAGTCAATCCTCGCCAAGCGCTAGATTCACTTCGGAAGATGTAAGCCGTGTGGTCACTCCCCATTGCCTACTCTTCCCTGTTCCTAAAGGGTCTTCTCAATTTGCCCACTCCTCTAGCTCCTTCTCTGATGCTCTGCCCCCCACCTCACTCACCCCACATTCCTCCAGCAGCAATAATATGGTCACATTTAAGGAACACTTACTATATGTACTTTTACATGGATGATCTTAAGTGTCACAATAACCTATGAGATCTTTAAGGGGGATACGATTATTATTCCCATTTTATAGAGAAGAAAACTAAGGCTCAGAGACATTTAGGGCCTTACCCAAAGTCACCCAACTAGCAGATGTCAGAGTTGGTATTCAAAACTCACTCAGTCTAACCCGGGTGGTTGGGGGTGGGGCAGAGCATCTAACCACGCTCTAGTGCTAACCGGTCACTAGTCTTAGAGTGTGCCATGCTCCTTCGAACTCCCTGACCTTTGCTTTATGGTGACCCCACCTGGAAGGCTTCCCCTCGTACAGTATACCTGCCCCAAATCTTGCTCTTCCTTCAAAGTCTTGCTCATAAGTCACTTTCTCTGCAAAGCTTTTTCCATCTTCCCCAGAAAGAGCTGTTTCTCACTCTCTGATTTTAAAACTGAGAACTTTGCTTCCCCATCAGGCCCAGAGCCCCGCAGTGGGCAGGAACTGTTCTGTGTGTCCCTTCAGTGTTTGGCACAGTGCCTGGCACAGAGTGAGTGCTCTCTAAAGGTTTGGTGACCAAATGACTGGCCCCAGGACTCCTCCCCAACACACAGTTGTGAGGAACTGCTAGGCATCTCCAGTTGGAAGCCAGGAGGGAGTAGGAAGTTGCAGGGTCCCAAAGTAGGAGGAGCTTAATGTAGGGGTAAAGATAATGCCATTACCTTCATCACTCATACATGGGGCAGTTCTGTCCCCAGGGGATCCAGCTGGTAGGGAAGTTCCATCCTTACACCATCCCTATAAATCTTTGGGAATCAGCTATCCACCCCCAGGGAGTTTCCCCTCTTGCAGTGCCAGGAACTGAACCATGATGGGAAGTGATCTTGGCTGGGTCTCTGGACACTACAGGAGGAAGTGTGGCCAGAGTGCTCATGCTCAGAGCCTGGGCCACCCCAGCCAGAGCTCTTTGGACTTCAGTAACTAGGGGTTACGTGGCTTTGGTAACAGGGTAGTTCCGGGGTGGTGGGGACTTCCTCGGTTGAGGGAAATTGCTCCATTGCCAGAGCTGTGGGGTAAGAACTGTTCCAGTGCCTCTCAGCAGCCCGTCACTGTGCCCTGGCTAGGACTGTGGGCAATTTCAGAGCTTGCAAAAGCCGTAGGCCTTTAAGAGAGTCTTCTAGCTCTTTGGCCCCAGTCTCTAGCCAACTGACTCCTCCCTCTAAGGCTGTCTCACTTAGGAACCTAGTAAGGCTTTCTGTAGCCTCAGGTCCAAATGCCTCAGCCTGAGATCACTACATCCCGAAGTCTGGTAGACAGGATAGCTGGGCAACTAGAAGCATGGGCTTTGGGGTTAGCCAGCTATGGGTCCAAATCCCAGCTCACTGTGTGACCTTGGGTCATTCACTTTACCTCCTTGAGCTCCAGTTCCTTCAGCCATAAAATGAGGATAAATAGACTTGAAAAGATCAAAATTAAGGATTTGTTCAATGGAACAAAGTTGCTCCAAGGAAAGCACCCTAGACCAGTGGTTCTCAAAGTGTGATCCCTGGACCATCACCGTCATCTAAATACTTGTTAAAAATGCAAATTCTTGGGACTCATGCTTGCTCTATTGAGCCAGAACCTCGGGGTGGAGTTTTCAATCTGTGTTTTAGCAAACCTTGCGGAGATTCTAATGCATGCGAAAGTTTGAGAACCACTGCCATAGCTAACATATGGGCAACATATTGGGAGAAGGTGTCTGGAACATCAACAGCCAACAAGAGGTTAATATCTAAAACGTATGAGTTACCCCTGCAAATCAACAAGAGAAAGACAAGAAACCCAATAAATAATGGGCAAAAGATCTGGACAGGCAATTCACTGAAGGGGGAGCCCAAACGCCTGACAAGTATAGCAGGAGGTTCTGAATTTCAGGATTAATTAGAGAAATACAAGTTAAAACAATGAGAGGCCACCTTATCACCCAATCTCTAGGCAAAATTACAAAGTCCAATAATGTAAAAGCTGATGAAAACGTGGGGAGAGAGCATCCTTCTCAGGTTGCTAGTGGAGCCACTTTAGCAGAATTTCGTGACATTTAAAACCTATATGACCTGTGATCTAGTAATTCTACTCTTGAGTACAGAGCCCGAAGAAGTTTTCATGTAGCTCCATAAGAGCCATCCACAAAGATGTGAATCTCAGTGTTGGTTGTGGTAAGAGGGAGTTGGAAACAACCTGAGTGTCCGTCACTGGGGGGAGTGGATACATAAAACAGTGGATGCTCAGCTTGGAATATTTTGCAACAAGCTAGATGGGTAGATCTTAAAAACATATTACGAAGTGAAAAAGAAGCAACAAAATGAGATCCTTACCCAATACTATTTATGTAGTGTAAACACACACACAAAGCATTGTATGTATTTATGTCCAGGGACATATATCAACACATAGGAGTGGGTGCCCATGATGGGGAGGAGGAGTGTGGGGAATGTGTAGATACAAGGGGAAAATAAGACAAAACAAAATACCAAAAGTGTCTTGCACAGACCAATTATGCTGAGATGGTCACTTGCCACAAACTGAGTATGAACCATGGAACTCTCTGGAGCTGAAGCCCTAACAATAATATTACTATTTTAAAATGGGTGATAGTAGCCCTGGCTGGGTACCTCAGTTGGTTAGAGCATCATCTGATATGCTACGGTTGTGGGTTCAATCCCCAGTCAGGGCACATACAAGAATCAACCCATGAATGCATTACATAAGTGGAACAACAAAAATAAATGTGTTTTTTCTCTCTCTCTCTCAATAAATTTAAAAAATGGGTAATAATAATAATACCTACCTCCTAGTAAGTACCATGTATCTTGCCACGGAGGGCTCTGTAATGTTATTATAAACTAGAGGCCCGGTGCACAAAATTTGTGCACTGGCGGGGGTGGAGGGGGTGGGTTCCCTCAGCCCAGCGTTCACCCTCTCCAATCTGGGACCCCTTGGGGGATGTCTGACTGCCAGTTCAGGCCCGATCCCACAGGATTGGCAGTCGGACATCCCTCTCACAATCTGGGACTGCTGGCTCCCAACCGCTCGCCTGCCTGCCAGCCTGATCACCCCTTAACCCCTCCCCTGCCTGCCTGATTGACGCCTAACTGCTCCTCTGCTGGCCCGATCACCCCCAACTGCCCTCCCCTGCCGGCCATCTTGTGCCCACATAGGAGCCGCCATCTTGTGTGAGGGTGTGATGGTCAATTTGCATTTTACATCTTGATTATATAGGATAAACTTGCCTAGTTCTTCTAGGCAAGTCTCTGGTTTCCTTTCAGGGCTCATTTCTTTTAGCCTCCAAGCCTGTACTTGGGCTGGGCCACATGCTGTATTTATGCTTCTTGCCCTCTCCAGCCCTGCCTTTAGGTTCCTTTGGCTACCCAGGACCACTGGGATGGCTCTGTGGAGGCTTGGGTACTTTTCTGGCTTAAGCATGAAGCCAGGCTGCAATGGAGCTGTGAGGGCAAGTCCTATTTCCTCTTCCCAAACTGTGGTCCCTCAGGGTCTTCTTAGAGCTCACTCCCACCTCATTCCCAGCCCATTGCACACAGAGTAAAGACAGGTAAACTGAGTCAGAACATGTTAGATGGAGAAGGGAACAGCCTTTATTGAGTGCCTGTCATGTGGCAGACCCAGCACTCAGGTCTTGACCTTTGTTGGTCTCCATGACCTCCCTCTGAGGCAGGTGGAGCCCATATCATCTGACAGGCGAGGAGGTGGGGGCCTAGGGGATAGGACACTAACCACGCCCCCTCTCAGGGGTCTTGGGTAGCCAAAGAAATCCAAAGGCAGGGATGGAGAGGGCAGCCCTGGGTCTGTCTGGCTCCAAATCAAAGATCTGAATAAGCAACTTGTCTGGAGCCTTAGGACTGGGATCCAGATCACCTCCTCCGAGTCAACTCTCAGTAGAGAAAAACCTCTACTCCACACTGATGATCTGATTCAGTGGTGGTGGTGGTGGGGTCTCTGCTATTTAGAGCCTTAAAAATACCCTCCACAGACTTAGCCTGGTCCGTTTGAGATATCATCGCAGGAGATTCCCTCCAGTCCCTTTCCCTCTTTTAAACCTCAGTCTCTCCAGCTGTAGAGCAGGAGGAACTGAAATCTCCGGGCTATGGGGATTCTTTTCTCAGTCGGCCAGAAGGTGGAGCCCACTCATCACCCCAGCGAGGCCTTCAGAAAGAAGCGCAGTCCAGGGAGGAGGGGGTGTCCTGGTGCGGATCTCGGGGGCCAGGGGGACGTGCCCATCCCGGGCGGGCAGAGTGGCTAGCTGAGCCCCAAGCGACTGCCTCGGACTTTAAGAACCGGAGCCCTAAGGGCAGGATCTGAGACGGGGAATGGAGGCCGGATTTGGGGGTGTGAGTGTGGGTGAAGAGGGGCCCTGAGGATGGGCACCTCCCCAGATCAGAGTGAGAGTCCAAGGCGAGGTTGCGGGGCCACGCGCTCCGCCTTCCGCCCGGGCGCAGCCACAGGCTACAGGTAGTTGTCTTCGGAGGCCTCATTCCCGCCCGGGGAGCCCCGAGCCTCCTCGTCTGTGCTGTCC